GGGGAGCGGGCGCAGTCTTCCGTTGCGACGAAGCGGTGCTTGGCCTCGAAGACGGAGCCTGGGGTGGCGCTTGCTGCATCGGCAGCTGACTCGGTGGTGGCGTGCTAGGAGCATAAGGATTTGCTGGCGGAGGATGCGACGCTGGCTGGGAGGCGTAGGGCGAAGCAGCTGCCGGCGGCGGAGGAGGAACAGGCGCTCTGGTGGAGAGTTGCGGGCTTGCTGCTTGAGCCGCCGGGTTAGGGGCATACCTGCTCGACGGTGGTGGCATCGAAGGCGGCGCGTTGTACGGAGATGGTCCGCGAGGAATTGACGCTGGGGGAGGAACGCCCATGGTTGAGCCCATTGGAGGGGACTGAGGCAAAGAAGCGTAGGGGTTGGCCGCGGGTGAAGGGCCTGGTACGTTAGTAGAAGGCGCGAAGCCTGTTGAAGGTGGTGAGGTCACTCGGGGAGGAGGAGCGGTGCCCTTTGGTGGAGGAGGGACAGACGGAGCCCGCTGAGTAGGCGGGGCTCCAGGTGGTGGAGGACCCTGAGAAAGGGTTGGAGACTGGTTGGGGAAAGGCGAGCTGATAGGTGCCGCGGCAGCGGCGGGGGTTCCCCTGCGGGAGGTCGGAGGTTTTGTGAAGCCCTCCGGCAAGTCGTTCCAAGCTGGCAGATTGGTCGCTGTGGTGTATGTGGTCATAGTGGCAGGGGATTGGTTGGTGGCGCGAGGAGGTGGTGGAACTGAGCCACCAAGTGGCTGAGCACCATAAGTTGGCGCCTGCAGAGGTTGATATCCTGCAGGAGTATAGCTTCCACCGCCAATTGGTGCATATGAGTTGCTTGCCTGCGGCTGGGCGGCGGCCGCGGTGGGAGGAGCATAAGGATTTGCGGGCTGCGTCGTAGCAGCCATTGGGGGAGCATAAGGATTCCGAGGAGCAGTAGCTGGAGCTGCTGGAGCAGCCGCAGGTGCAGAGAAGGCGGGCTGCGCAGGGTACATGCTGGCTTGTGGCAAGGGCTTGTTGACGGGTGTCCTAGTGGTGGGACGAGTTGGCTGTGAGCGCTGAGGTGCAGCGTGTCTCATTGCCAGCTTGATGCGGTTCCTAGCGATCTCGGCTTCAGGGTGCTTCTCAGGAACAAGATCGAGGTATTTCTGCGCAACTTGCAGTCGTCCGTGAGTGGCCACGACATCGGCGTACTCGATATACTTGTCGTAAAGCATACTAAGCTTCCAGTCGGCATCCTTGGTACGTTGCGTGTCTTGGAACTTGGTAACCTGGCGGAAGATGGTGACCTTCTCAATCAGACTCTGCAGAGCACGAACGTGGATCGAGAAGGAAGTATCGTCTGCAGCCGTCTCAATGCTCTTCTGCTCGTTCTCGCGGAGCTCCTCGATCCAGATGGCAACAACCTTTTCAAGTTTGGATCCAGCCAGGAAGCAGAAAGAGGCATCCTTGCGGAGGTTCTTGTCTTCAGTGTTTCGAATCTGCTCTTCCAGGCGGTCACCAAGGGCCTCGCAGAGATCGGCAAATTCATTGTCATCGGCAAATGTGCACAGCGCAGCCATGACTTCCTTCCAGTTAGACAGGTCGGCATTGTGTACGACATCCCAGAGGTTTTTGCCAACAATGGATGCAAGCAAGCGGATGTAGTTCGGCCCATCGGTTTGCTTCGAGAAGTAATGTTCCTGCGCCTTCTCGATGCACTTCTGGCCTCCACAGATTGCAATCATGAAAGCGTCTGACATGCGGTCTTCTTTCAGGGCCACATCGAGTGCCTTTTCGAAGTTGCCCAGAAGCAAGGCTCGAGTAATGCCCTTGTCCGCTTCGGTCTCAGAGCCATTGAAGATCTGGAATGGGTTGTTGGTCTTGGCTCCCTTCGATGCAGCTAAATCGGTCAGGAAGTTGTCAGCCTCAGGGTTCGCGTCAAACATCGACTGCAGACGCTTGTGCTTCTTGGCTCCCGACCCGCGGGATTCTTTGGCCGACTCCCCGTTCACCTCGTCATCCTCCTTATCCAAACCAAGCTGAGCCAGTTTATCAGCGGTCTCGTCGGCTTGATCCTGGAATCCAAGGTACTCGATCAAACCCTTGCGAGGGTTCTCTGAAATCAAAGCTTCAATGACCTTCCAGTCAGCCTTCTCCTCATCACTTGCGGCCTGAGCAGCTCTGGTTTCGCAGATGCTCCGAAGGTCACCCTCCTTGAGCGCATTCTCGAACGTCTCCGTAGACTTTGCGACAGCCTCGTCAACCTCAAACGGGGTGATCTTAATCTTCGATGCACGCTTGCCCTTCTCGATTAGGCCGACCGAAATCACTCTGCCGCCGAAGCCGAAAGACGCGCCACAAGGTCTCTCAAGCCACTTGGGAGCCTTTGGGAGCGAGAAATTCGAAACCTGGGGCTGCGTCTGTGCCTTCGCGAAGAAATCCGCCCCGTCGAGCGCTTGGTTCTGGTCAGCGATAGCCCGAGCGGTGTCAGTACGAGTGTTCTGGACGGTCTGTATCGAAATTCTCCCATCGAAAGAAGCCGTGGCAAAGAAGTTCGGATTGTGTGGGTTCCAGCGAGTCTGGAAAGTCCAGTTCGTAACGACAGGGAATTCTCCGTAAGCTTGTCCCGTTTGAGGGTTCCAGCAGAGAGTGCGGTTGTCCTTGCCGGAGGAGAGAAGTAGGTCGGGATCCTGAGGACACCAGGAAAGCGAGAGCACACCTGATTCATGTCCTTTAAGGGTCTAGAGAGCGTTAATCATATTTGTACTATTGCGTGTGAAGGAATAGGGAACTCGGGAGCTCACCCTTTCTGGGGCATGGGAATTGCGGAGATCCCAAACGTAGATAAGAGGATCGGACTCCAATGGTGTGGAAGTAATGAGTTTCGTGGGCTGTCCAAAGTCAGTTATAATATCAGCTGCTTGTTGATTTGCTTAGGCTCACCTTCTCAGGATCCCAGGCTACTGCGCTGACAGCTTTCCGGCCCATATTGTTCAGGGTTAAGCTCTCCTTCTTCGTCTTGACATCCCAGACAGTGACAAAACCTGCACTGCTACCCGTGACCAGGATGTGCGCGACCTTCTTATTCCAGTCCAAGCATTCGATATCATCAGCGCGGGCAGCGGCGCCTCCGAGTCGGTACGGGTTTGCGATGTTGTTGAGATCGGAGATGTAGAGCTGCAGCAGTGAGCCTCACCAGAACATGGGTAATAAGTTGGCTAAAACAATTACCTCTCCCTTTGCGCCACCAGTTGCTAACAAATTCGAGTGCTTCGGGTTGAATTGCAACGCCTTGATAGCCCCTGAATGTTGGGTCATTCTCGAAATGACAGCGTCACTGCTTGTAGTCCGGTCAGCCAATTCATGATAGCCCGGGGATTCTATCTGCGGACGAACCTCGAGCCGTTGATTAACTTGTCGGCATCCCATAAATCCAAGGATCCGTTCTCCAGAGCACCAGCGATCACCCCCCGTGAGTTGTCCTCGGAATCTGTCCATGCCAGGTCGTTAAATCTACAAATAACAACAGTGAGTCACTCTGCACAATGAAGGGCCGAAAATAAGCAATATAAGAATTCATACCCAGAATCAGTGCCAATCTTGGCAATGGGCTGCAGCTCCTGACTGGCATCTTGGCTGCTCAATCCAAGGTCCCAGAGCTCAAGACATGTTTCATTCGAGAAATCAACATCGATGGCGCCGGCCCGAGTTCCGGTAGCAATCAATGGCGATGCTGCACCGGGTGACCAGGCGAAGGTGGCGGACCGGGGGATCTCCCTCAGACGCACCATGCTGGAAAGTAAGAGGTGCGGGATGACAGGTATAGATTAGGGGAGGATCAGACTCAGAACGGTCTGGCGATGATAATCATTAAAATGAGAAAAGAAAAAGATGGAGCAAAAGAAATTGAGGGAAAGACAAGCTCACAAAAGCAAAGATCCCCTCCTTAATCAGTAAACGGAAAGGAGCTTATAGGTTAAGAGGTGATCGAGACCTGAACGATCCGATGCCTTGGGCTCAAGCAACCAAGTGTCCTTCTGGAGGGGGACCGGGGGGAGTGACGCTAAGCTCCATCGGGACTCGCCAAAACATCCGCGGATGCACGTGACATCATTCATTCCGCAGAGGGTCCCAGGCAAAGAAATCTACTTGGGGACGGCGGAGCAGTTATCAACCAGGCGATCGTGACGCAAGGCCTGTTCGCTCGTTTTCAGGCAGTCCTCATATGGCTCAATAATCCCTCTCCTCTATACTTTTGACCGGTTGCACCATGAGCGAAAAGGCCCGCCTAAAATGTACTGTCTACGTGGGGGGTCTCGACCAGGCCGTTACCGTGCAGACACTGGCCGAGGCATTCGTCCCATTTGGCGAAGTCGTTGATATTACGCTACCTAAACCTGATGTGCCCAACTCAGGCGATCTTCACCGCGGCTTTGGATATGTGGAGTTCGACCTGCCTGAAGACGCTGCAGAAGCGATTGACAATATGGATGGAAGCGAGCTGTATGGCCGTACAATAAAGGTCGCCGCCGCGAAGCCGCAGAAGGAAAGCAACGAGGGACTGGGAAGCAAGACAGCTATTTGGGAGCAGGTAGGTCCCTTTGACCCGATCGTACACGGACGTGTTGCTAACTACGGTTGTACAGGAAGGATATTTGGCCAAATACGCGGTCAGTGAGGAGGATAAGATGGCAGCAGCGGAGGCCAGAGCAGCAAGCGAAGGCGCTCCTGATCCCATGCAGGGATTAGAGGAGCTTGATGTCGCTGGCCCAAAGCCAGAATGAGTTTTTTTACATGATACCCCGCGAAATTTGAATGCACAAGGAAGCCAGACAACAGTAAAGTTGCGATATTACTCCAACAGAGCCACCCTTGGATCAAAGCCGTACTATATACACGTGCTTTCGACGCTCAAACAATCAACTTCAATTTTTCTCTGCTGCGACAAATCACGTCTGTGAATAATACAGGTCCTCAACAAACGGACAAACAGAACGAAATGTCCATTGCAAATCAATCAAATGTGCTGGTACATGCTTAGTGTTCGCGGTCCTCGGGCTTATTGCGGTAGAGACGCAGAGTCTTGTCGGTCATGAGCTTGCGGGTGCTAGAGTAGATAGCAGCTCCGACGGCAACACTGTAACAATTGCGTCAGCGGGTCGATGGGGCTGGCAGGTGGGAAATCCCTGTCTCTTGTAGATAGAAACGGCGCGGTGTCAACCTACCCAAGGACAATACCTATTCGAATCGCGATAATGGTTAGACGAGTGCAGATAAAGCGATCAACTCCAGACTAGCAACGTACCGAGGGGAATCAGTTCCGGGGGAACTCTCTTCAGGGTCCGCAGACGCTGAGAGATGGTGTGAGCTACCGATCAATCAGTACAACCACAGTCCGTCAAGTATACAATTGCTACTTCAATTGTGTCTCAAGAGGCGTGTCATACCGCTCTGGTTCTCCTTCTGCAGACGACCGTTAGCATCAGTGGTCTGCCAAGCCTTTTTTTCTGACCTGGTCGCAATAAACAGGAGACTTACAGGAGTAGGGAAAGCAAAAGGCCGAGAGGCCTGCATCCTCAGAGCACGAGTAGGGAACATGGCGATGGCGGAGAGCGATGCCTGGTGGAAAGAGTAGTGGAGGTGGTGGTGGGATGAGAAGACCGGAAGTGGTGACGGAAGCTCAGGACGGGACGTTTCGAAGGGAGCAAGCAGCATTTGGACTGGCTGGGTCGGGTGTTTAGGAAATCTTGCCGCATGAGTGGCTCGCTAGACCGCCCGCGGTCACTTCCGGCTTCACAGCTTCACGGGATCATTCCACTCCACTGGCGCAAACCTCCCCATCTTCTTCTCCGAACGACGTTCCTCCCCTCCCACCCTCCACACTCCGTCACTTTCTCCGTAGCCAGTCTAAAAGGTTTCTTCAACCTCACATATTCAAAATGGGTGCCATTCCTGAAGCCGATCCCGATGAGCCCATGGAGACCAAGCCCTTCAAGTTCGTGACAGGTGAGTCCATCCGAAGCTGTCTGCAGGGCCAATGGCCTCGAATTAAGCTCAATTGCTAACTTACTTGCAGCTGGTACGTTATATTTAGGATATTGATCGTTTTCTCGCCTGTTGTGCCGCTTTGGTCCAGGTTTTCGTCGCTGGTACTACCTCGTATCATGCTGACCACTTCTGATGCAACGACTAGGCTATGACGCTCGCTTCCCCCAGCAGAACCAGTACGTCTTCCATTCTTGTCTATCAACACCAGCTCTGATACAATACTAATATACCAACCTCAGGACCAAGCACTGCTGGCAGAACTACGTTGACTACTACAAGTGTGTCAACGCCAAGGGCGAGGATTTCCGTCCATGCCGTCAGGTATTTAATTCAATTTCTGGAATAAAGAAAACCAAGTAGGATTGAGGTCCTGACTCGTGCATGACAGTTCTACCACGCTTTCCGCTCCCTGTGCCCCAAGGCCTGGACTGACAGATGGGATAACCAACGTGGTGCGTACTTTTCTTTCCTTCTATTAGAGAAAGGCAGTCTAACCTGGGTGTACAACAGAGGCTGGAAACTTCCCTGCTCGTCTGGAGTAGATGATTTTAGTCCTTGTCGATTAGCTGTTGAATATTTTTGGTGTCAAACATGTACTCTACGCGATCAGACCGGGAATACAAATCCTCTTCTTTGTGAGGTCCTTTTCGTCATCGGGGAGCCAGAGGGAATGATGTATATAGGCTTACTCTAGTCTGAAGAGCCGTTCGTGTGCATCTCGGTTATCTCATATCTTTCAAGGCAATATCCGTATATCAATCCTATCAACAGCATCGTGTAGTCTGTCTGTACTTGAGTTCCCCACGATGAAGCTGACGTTGTAATTCTGCTTCTTCTTGACATATACGGTTCCAGCAGTAAATATTATTTTGTTACAGTTCCGGCCGGCAGGCACAAGTAATGAATTCGGTTATACCTTTCCTCTCACACAGAGGTACCCGTCACAATGTCAAGGCAGGGCATGAAGCTATTTCAGGTCATCACCCACCGCAACCACAGCCACTATCGACACGTAGACGACACAACAAGCGAAATGACAAGACATGGACATATATATAATTATGTACAGCATTGAAAACACTTTTGCCCTCCCAATATGTTTCGCCAGATGCCATGTACATGAAGTCTATGTAGAAATGAAACCCCAAAAACAATATGCTGCAAACAGAAAAGTCTATACTTTGATGGTGTTGTCCCCCGAGATCCCTTTCAACGCTCGGTAGAGCTTCTTATGTTCTTCCAAGAAGATAAACGTGGCAATGGTATGAGGACCCAGCCGAATAAAGCTAGGCACCCAGCCGCGGAAGACCCATGTGAAACCCTCCTTGCGGTAAATATCTCGTAACAAGCCTAGGAGGCTGTGACTCCGGGTCTGCGCCGGTGATGCGGTCATCACGCGGGTTTTGATCACGTCGACGGGGCTGCAGACGGTTGTGGCGACGAACCCGGCCATCAGGGACGCGGTGAAATGCGTGACAAGGTTATCCGACATTCCCAGCTTCTCGAGACAGAGACGCTTGAAGGAATCGTACGAGGCAAGCTGCGAGGCCGTCATCAGCACGGCACGGGTGGAATTGGGCCACACGCCGCGGAAGAGACTCGCCGCGCCCTCCGTGCGGGTCATCTGCACCAATCCGTGGAGAGCATGCTTGTAGTTGCGCCGTTGTGCCGCGGGGAGCGCCGCGTCGTGCTGCATGCGCACGTTCAGAACATCAGCCGGGTTCCCTGCGAACCCGCCAATGAAACCCGAGGCGCAGGCGATTGCGACCAGGGTGGGAAGTCCGGGTGCTGACGAGGACGAGGTGAAGCGGGATTTGAGCTCTTCGTAGATTCCGAAGCGGGTGGTAGAGTAGGTTATTTGGCGGAGAATGGCCGCAGAGAGCTACAGAATGGCACAGATATGAGCGATCCATGGTGACTTTCTTCTTTGCGTCTTCCTAACCACGATCCATGCAGATATTGTACATACCCCACTATACAACCCCAGAACCCCATTATGCTTGAGAATGTGACCAAACGTTCCAATCATCGTCGTAGGCGCTCCCGGCCCACGTGTCTGCAAGCGAACCTGTATTTCATCGGCGCATCGATCAGCGTTGTGTACACAAAGCGGAAGGGGACGGATGAGACGAGCGGTGCGCGCAGACTATAAGGAGGTATACCTTTACTGCAAGTTCAATGTCAGTTAAAAGCCCTCAAGAATACTTCAAACAAGCCATTGCAAAGAATACTCACCAAGATCCAGAGGATGTGTGACCATTGCAGCAAAGCATGATGCAGAACCACCAAACCAAAACGGATAATGCACTTTTTTTACAACAGCCCTCGCGGGCTGCGAATCCTCCAACTTTCCACTTCCAGCCATCTTGATCAACAAGGTGTGGACATTCCAGCCATGAACCAAAAAGAAAAAGAAAGAGCGGAGAGTGGTGGTGTACTATCACCGAGACAGCAACGTTAATGGCCGCGATAAGTCGTAATTCGTAAGACTATGTCAGCCAGAGGGGGCCTTAGATAAATTCTGAGTCGGCGATAGATCAAGGCTCCGAGCCCTGCGTGCTTCGGCAATGCCAACCGATCCCGGGTCCTTTCAGCCAATCAGGGCCTCGGTTTTGGAGGGTGTCATGCAAGTTGGATGTAATAGCCAGTAATATTACTGTATTTCAGTCTTCATGGAGTTGTAATAACCGATACACAAGGCGATAGTCGGTTGATGTCGGTCATACTTTTATGATTGGAGACTGTAGGGACACCTAAACTTGTCATGAATATCATTAATAGAATAGTTGACCATTAAAAGAGATAGAAATGCCTTGAATGTAATCCAAAGTACGGTGAAAGCGACGTTGTAATATAGGACCACGGGTCGTACCATGATCTATATCTGACGTATGGGCGGCATCACAAGTACTGTACTTTTCATCGCATATGATGATTGACTTTGATTCTACGATGTTCTTATTGTTATAGGCATCGTAATTAACCTCTTACATTTGTTCATAGCAGCTTGAGAACTAAAGGTACATATAGATGCGAAATTGATGAGTGAGCGATCCGAGGAGTGATCCGAGCAAATCCCGAGTTATCTCAGAACCATACTCTGTACGGCCCAAGGAATAGGTACAGACAGATTCGATGAAATAAGACTTATCCCTCTTCCATAACGTAGAGACATATTACTGCTGAGGTGCTACAAGGATCTGGGGTGAATCCTACACGACTACGGGTTGCAGCTGACTGCATCTCAGCGACCAATAGCGCATCAGCCAACTCAGATAGCCTCGCGAGGAGAACCCAGCATGACATCCAATGCTCAATCGCAAGGCTCTTGGGGTCAGGCTGCAGTACATAAGGCGCTGGCAGGCCTCTGAAATTACCGCAGCCATCAAAGCCAAAGGCCTGCCATACTTCCCTTGACGAAATTCTTGTAGATGACTGAAGGTAAGCGACAATCCCTGTCCACAGTCGATAAGGCTAACAACTTATAAGCCCGCCATTGAGCCACTATGGGATCATCCAGTGTAGCTGAAGATTTTCTTCCTCCCCATGTTCCACCCAATGCCACTGTTCGGCGGGTCAATTTTCTCAATACAGATCCGCCTATCCTCAAGTACAAGGATTATAATGCTGTCGTTATCGACAACGTCCTGACGGAAGAAGAATGCAAAGAGTTGCTTCGCATTGCAGAAGCCTCAACTGTCAAGGACACTTCTGGCTCTCCAACGTGGGATCGCGCGATGATTAACACCGGAGGCGGGAGCCAGGTACTTGCTACAGCCCAACGCAACTGTGGGAGAATCATATTCGATTCCCCTGAGCTGGCGGACAAGCTGCTCGCTCGCCTGATGCCATTTCTGAAGGAAGTAGGGGTTGATCGCATCCGCAATCAGCCGCTTGTGACTGGTCTCCAAGGGCGGGGCAAGGCGTACAAACTCTCGCGGCTGAATGAGAGACTGCGGTTCTTGAAATACGAGGGTGGTGAATTCTTTCGACCTCATTGGGATTCAAACTACCTCACTCCGGATGAGGAGGAGGAGTCCTTTTATACTCTACATTTGTATCTGAACGGCGACGGAGAGCAGGATCTGGAGGAGTTGCTACAAGCGAGTAAGAAGGCGGAGACGGATCCTCAGGGCAGCGTCAATACGGATCTATCGGGAAAGCTCCTAGGGGGAGCAACATCATTCTGTGCGAGTTACAGGGAGGGAGATGGTATACTTCGAGTGTTTCCCAAGGCAGGGTCAGCGTTGGTCTTCCAGCAGTACCACTTGCTTCATGCTGGAGACCCTGTATTTCGAGGGGTCAAATACACCTTGAGAACCGATATGTTGTATCGCGAGGTAGCGATGACTTGAAATATTTCATTCATCTTTAGGCATGGTTATCACAATATTCAGTCAATTTGAAGATGACTTTCGTTATGCGAACTATATATTATTGACCCGGACGACACCTATCAGCCAAGGTTGATGAGATGAACTATTCGGAGAACATATAATCATTCGAAACCCACATTTAAGATGACTTTGTAATTCTACTGCGATAGCCATCCTCTGTATAATGAAGAATAATTTGCAAATAAAAAGCGAAGCACTGTCTGATGTATAAACACCGGCGACTCTTTTCCCCGGCCCGAATTGTTGATTTCCAGCTTCAATCTCCGCAAC